ATCTCTATCGGTTTTCGTTACAATAGGTACATGCTACATACTTGCTTTGGTGTCAATGTAAAGCTCTCTTGACTTTGCTCGAGGAATTTACAGCACTAAAACTTGCTATGGGTTAATCAACATGCTGCATCCAAATTCGATTGAGATACGGTAAAGTATTGTATCAAAGTTAGACGGTAAAATGGCAGCGTGAAATCTACACATCGCATCGTAATACTATTTAAGAGTGAAGCATCCGAAAAATTGACATCTAATATCAGATTCAAGCTAAGCCATTTAATATGAATTATACAAGCCTGGTGAAGGTTTAAAGATGCTAGAGTTGCCAACCATGAAACAATGGACATATTACTTTGCGACACTCTGAAAATGCGCATCGTCACAAGTCATGGCAGATGTGTTTCTTGGAAAATCTGGTCAAATACCAAGAATCCTATAAAATTCTATGAACTCGCTTCCCTAGCTGGATAACTAGTCCTACTATGCTTTGCTACCAACAGACTACGAGCCATTATATCGAACTGCACCAATTATGCGCTAGCCAAACACACAGGTTGAATATATGACCTCCGGATGGTTGATTGGCTAAGGTCGTTCGCAGTATGATGGCGCAATCTGTACATGTAGACAGGAAGTCTGCGGTAATCACTGTTGCTGCTGATGGTCCGCTGCGTCCGATCGTTTGACTAACGATAATAGGCGCCGTCAAATACCGTGTGTTTACTACGGCCACTGTCAAGTACTCCATCTACATGGGAATGACCATGAGACTAAGTGGATAACGTTTGCCAATTAGAGATTCAGGTCAACCCATTACGAGTTACATAACGAGTACTCATCTTGATGGTGAACTAGGTTACAGAGATGGAGGTAATCAAGACAAAGGAAGAATTTCGAAATCAAATTTTGAATTCGTGGGTCAACTTATCTGTAGAAACTGCTACCATTTCGTTCAAAACTATTACCAAACCACTTACAATTTAGAATAAAGTGGAAAAAATCAAGGACAGAACCTACCATCACTGAGCTCTTCAGAAATTACTAT